TTGTAATTCCTGAAGAAACCAAAATTCAAAAGATCTCGGTTCTTCACATATTTTGTCAGGGTTCTGTCGGGGTTCTGTGCGACGTCGTGTGGACGCACGGAAAAATAATACGTATTAGGTCGGGATTTCATTTGGATTCTGTTTGCATTGAGTCCCGTGTGATAAGGTCCCTAGATATGTGCCTTGTTAGTCTGTTTGGCATGAAGAGACATGAAGGAATCCTGTAGAATCCTTGAGAAACTTGAGAGCAAACATTTACTTTAAAATTGTAATTATAATAGTAACCAACACTTTGTGGTCTGCTTTTTATTATAACTATTACTAGTTACTTAAAAAAAAAGGAATTTCCAAGCTCTGAATTGTGCCCTATTGTCTCTTCCTCCCCTTTTCAACCAAAGCCAAAGAATTTAAAGAAGAAATTATCTCTTGGTAGCAGGTCAACCCATGACATGTTTCTGGCTGAGGCAGAGCAGCAAATGGCACTACTTCAACAAATTCAGAAGTAAAGACAATCTAGTAAACTCTGGCACCTGCAGCAGAAAATCCTAAAATAGACTGAACCCCCTTCCTGGCAGGAAAAATACAATAAAAGTAATTAACGAATAAATGACAATTTGTTGCCAAATATCCTGCTGCCTTGTGTAGTTGCCACACTCTGCCTAATATTCAAAGTAGATCTGCTTCGTAACAATAGGTTGGTTCTCACTTGTTGAAGAAGATCTCTTTTTGTAAAGTGTTTAAAATACTGCCTACAGGTATAACAGAAAGACAAGAGCAAGAGACTTGCTTACATTCTTCACAATCCTTCGCACAGCAGGAGAATCAGGAGCAAAGAGGATTTTCCCCATCACCAGGGGTTTCACAGCTCTCCAGGCTATTTTGGTTAAAGGGTTGGACTCCATGGTCTGGATCAGCGTGTTACAAAAGGGTGCTATTGGAAGAAAGAAAGGAGGTCATACACCATACTACAGTGTCCTATTTTCTTTGTTCATGACATCCCAGAGATTAACCTCTGGAAACAGCGTTTCCATATTTCTAATAGAAAATTGTAGCATGCAATTTCTAGAATCTGTGCCAGCTAAACCAAAAGGTTTCTGATGCATCTAGGCAGCCATATAGTTACTGCTGGAAATACAGTAACACTCAGTGTTAAATCTGTCTTATTAAAAGCAGCAGTTATAAAGTTAATTCATGTTTCACTGACATAAAATCTCCTTATGTCTTGTCCACCTAACTTCTCCCAGAGACTGTTATTACTAGAAATCACTCTACCTCTTCTCTCCGCCTCCTTTTTGCCCTTTCACTGCTCCAAAAGTAAAACTAATGTTTTGTCTTCTTCCTGTTCTAGCTTAGCTTTAACAGCAGCAAAAAAAAAAAAAAAAAAAAAAAAAAAAAAAAAAAAAAAAAAAA